CACAGACGGCAGGGCGCAGTCACAGACGGTGGGGTAGGAAGGCGCGCAGTCGGAGACGGGGGCGGAGGGCGCACAGTGGCACGGTCGCGTGAAGTTGCTGAAGAGAGAAAGGTCGCGTGAAGTTGCTGAAGAGAGAAAGGTCACGTGAAGTTGCTGAAGAGAGAAAACAAAAACGGAAGAATGAAAATGATTATAAATCGTTTTCAGATTTTCATATAATGACAAGAACGTTTTTGTTTTTAAAATTTAATGCCAAACGCATTTTTTTAACTCGTTTTCATTTTTCATTCTCGAAAATCGTGAAAAATGAAAACGAGAAGGGAAACAAACAGGGCCTTAGTGATTAAATGTTGAATTTTTGGTTGTTAGATTATGTTTTTAGCAACTTTTGGATATGAAAATCCTTATGAGAATTTGGATGGAACCCTAGAGTATGGTTTCTAAGATTATAAGATTATATGAGAAAGATTGTGGGTTATGTCTAATAGTTGGATTAATGGATCAAATGAGCTAGGAATAGCTCGGGAAACACAAAAAAATCAGGCAAAACTATGCCGGATTTTAGTTTGAGAATTTGAAGTTAAAAACTTAGTTATAGTTCTGAATAGAAGCTTTAAACGAGTTTTTTAGAAAACACCGCAAAACTAATAAAATAGTTTCGGTGTTAAATACAAGAGTTCATTAAGGAACTCGAAGTATAATCTCGTGAAATCATTTTGAATTTGGACCATGTTTAATGGAAAAATAAGATTATGAGGATTCAATAAACCTAATCTTCAAGTTTGAAACAAGGGTTTTCAATCCTCTAAGGTAGGAAAGAGAAAGAAAGCCATAAGTAGAGAAATCAGATTTTCTTATAAGCTTGCTAAAATAGAATAGCAAGTGATAGTTAATTTTACACTCTTAGTGGGTGTTTATTCTCATAAATAAGCAAGAAAGAGAACAGACAGTGTGGCGAATAGAGGATTCCACTCCTTAAAACAGGTAAGTAGGAATCTCGCCTACATTATGAATAGATATTAAAATAAATAGTACA